GAAGCTGTCTCCTTCTCTTTTTGTACAGTTATTCTTAGGTTTTTTGTTCCACTGTGTTGCTAAAGTTTCTTAAGTGGACTCTAGAGCTCTCTCAGAGCTGTTTTTGTTCATAGATAACTGTCTAACTACTGATCTTTGTGAGGGCATGGAGGCTGGGGTCTCCTACGCTGCCATTTTGGTGACGTCACCTCCTGTCCTGTATCAGGAACAGCCAGATGGAAGAGCTGCGTAGGGCAAGGTAGTGGGAAGGGGCACAGCGCTTCAGCGCCCTCTCCGGGAGACCCACTCTCCCAGCACCTCCACACATCCACCAACCTGGAAAACTATCTGACCATAAATTCCAAACTATGGTTCTGGGAGAAGCTAAGTTACTAAGCTCCCCACGCACACACTCCTGCCATAAGATAGGGGATTCAGTAGAAAAGTAAAATTGGGAAATGCTACACACTCTATTCCCCTTAGAGATTCACAAAGCTAAGAGGTCTTGCAACAAAGTTTAACTTGCTTTAACCCAGAGATAACCTAAACTTATATAAATACAAACCTTTTTCCTCTTCATAAAATGTTTTTCCATGGGAAATTCTGCCCTCTGCCAACCACTGAGGCCTCAATGCCCACTTATTCCTACTTCTGAGAACACAGCCACTTGCTGAGGAAGGGTCAACCTGCGTGATGGTCTCCAGGACCCGTGGAGCGGCCTAACGACCCGCCTGCTAAGAGGACCTTCACTTTACCCTCTGACGCCGAGACTGTGAAGCAGAGCTGCCCGGGAGGGCACAGAATATCTGCACTCCAAGTCTAGCCAGGGGCAAAGCCGTGAATCCCAGGACTTACTAAAAGCCTGTTGTGCTAAACGCGATGTGGGCTCCTGGATTGGCCCCTGGAACAGAAAAAGGAGGTCAGTGGAAAAACTGGTAAAATCCAAAGTCTTGAGTTGAGTTAATAGTAATGTACCAGTGTTGGCTCTTTAGTTTTGATAAATGTAGCATATAAATGTAAGATGTTAACATCAGGGGAAACTGAATGAGGGATATATAAGAACTCACTGTATTATCTTTACTACTTTTCCATACATATAAAATTATTGAAAAATAGAAAGTTTATTTAAAAAGAAAAAAGTCTATGGAAAAAAATTCTACAGAGAGGGATCCCCTGCAGGGTATGAAGTCCAGGCCTCTCTGTTTTGCAAAGGGGCACTGTTGGCATCTTGGGCAGGATAAAGAGGGACTGTCCTACACAACATGGAAGCATCCTTGGCCCCTGACAACTAAATGCCAACAGAGATCCCCGCCAGGCAGTGATACCCAATTCCACTTGAGACCCACTTACAGACGACATGAGAACTGCACACCTGATTGGTACTTTAGTCCCACAATTAGAGAACTGCCTTACTGAATGCACATGGGCAGCAAAACAAAACTCACTGTGATGTCTCCGCAGGTGTGTGGTCAAGGAGGTTACCTGCCACATCGCAATATCCCTTTTTATTTGCCGACAAAGCAGCCTCATCTCTAGCCGCCCATCTGTAGTCAAATCTGCTACCATCTCTAGCACCTGGGCCTAATACAGTTAATGGCCAAGTCCAGGTCCCACCACTTTGGGACGGTGAACAAGTTATTTTCTCTAAACACCCATTTCTTCATGTGAAACATTTGAATAACAGTGGTAATCATAGTTACTGACGGCTTGTTATATGCTAGGTACTGTTCTATGTGCTTTCCGTGAATTAATTCATTTAATTCTCATAACAATTCCATGATGCAGGCACTATATCTATTCCCGTTTTAAGTAGGAAGAAAATGAGGTACAGAGAGGTTAAGAAACCTGCCCAAGGCCACACAACTAGTAAGTAGTAGAGCCAGGAAGCCAGTGGTGGCAATTAAACTGGATGGTGCATAGCAAAGGCTTGGTGCAGGGTCTGGCACACAGCACACAATGTGTGGTAGTTGTTATTACGGTCAAAACTTTGGCATCCCTTTCCGTGAGTCAATCTTAGACGAAGCTTGATTTTCTTACTGCTGCAGCAGAAAGGCCCAAACACTTGTTCTCTCTGGTTCAATGTCAAACTATGACCCGAGTCCCTCCTAAGACTTCAGTAAGGCTGGCCACTCTGTCATCGTGATTCTTGCATGTCTGGTCTCACAGGTTGGCAAATCTTTTTTTGTGAAGGGCCAGATATTAATATGTGAGGCTTTTTAGGCCATACAATTCTTGCGACATGCCCTTCATTTTTTATGTTCAACCCTTTTAAAAATGTAAAGCCCATTTTAGCTCCTGGGCTATAGTTTGCCAACCCTTGCTCTCCAGGATTATTAACAGAAAACCATTCAAGTTATCAGTAGGCTTTCCCATGGGGTAGATGGAGCCATCAGAATTTAGTAAATTACCTAGTTACACTTTCATTGAGTCCCACCCACCAAAAGTTACTGAATAATTTCATTAAATTGGTAGATGACCGAAACAGTGAAGAAACCTCCAAAGGTTTGCAGGGGAGGAAGGGTAGGTAAGTAAATCCAGAAAAGCCTATCAGGATTTATGCCAGAAATGTGAAGAGTCTTCTAAAGCAATAAGTGATGAAGAGAATGGAGGAAAATACCCCAGAAAAATCTTAGCGTTGTAGAAACAGCACAAAGTTTCATTCATGCAACAAATAATTAGAAAGATGTAGTGGGCATCTCTATGTGCATGCCCTGTTCTTGGTGATTTTAGAATTGCAGAGCTCAAAGGGACCTTAGAAATTATCTAGTCCAATCTCCTTATTTCATGGCTGAGGATTCTGAGGCCCAGAAGTTTAAAATAACTTCACTATTTCCATTCAAAATTAAATGTGGCAGGCTTTTTGTCCCTAAAACTTAGTACTTAAGTATGCTATTAAACGTTTGTTGAATGGAACTTATGAATGGACAGCTACTGTTCTCTTTATTACCTTTAAATCATCTATTAAGTCTGGTAAAACGACAGATACACTGTAATTGTCTTTAGAATCTATTGAAAAAAATATATATTTTTTGCTGCATTTCACACACTTTTGGTCTGTATAAGTGGGCTAATGAGCATCCATCATTAGATAACAAGTCTGATTCCCCTTTAATTTCTCCTTTTTCCCTTCAGGCTCCCATCGCCTCCACTTCTCCCCTTTCTCCCACTCATGTACTCTTTTCCATTTCCACTGCCGCCACCCTCACTGCTTTCAGCTGTCTTTCTGCTCTGTCTTCCCATTCCTCCAAATGTACCCCCATCCCCTTTTTTCTTCTTAAAACCAGGCTCAAGTCCTATTACTGCCTCCTACCCCCACCCCAAAATTCTGAACATTTTAACAAATCCTACTTGGCTACCAACTAAAGTTCCAATGCTTAGCCTGGTTCCTCCATCCCAAACCTACCACCTTCTTTCTCCCCAGTCTTATTTACCATTATTCTCCTATTTCCTCTGATGCTCCCTTCAAATTGTTCCTGGCCCTTGTCCATGTTCAAGCCTTTGCTAAGGTCTCCCCTCCATGGGAAATGCCTTTTTACCCATCACAACCTTCAGAAAGCCCATCCGTACTGAATACCACCTGCTCCCCCTCCCCTGGCTCCTCCCTTCCTCTGTGTTTCCCCAGCACTCGGTTCTACTTTCTTATAGCTCGAACCAAATTTGACCTTCTATTAGATTACTTGCGTGTATGACTTAATTCTTCTACTGAAAGCAAGCTACCCACTCTGCAAGTACAATAAGAAATAGTTTTAAGTTAAAACACCAAATTTATTGCATAATATTTAACTATATGCACACACATAGAAAATAAACATTTCATATAACTATATCTTTTTTTAATCTTGTATTATAAAGACTGAAAAACTACCAATTTAGCAATTGGAATAAATCTACAATCCTTCATTGAGATTTGATGCTGTGTCACGGTTCATAAATACTTCATTTTATATAAATAAGTCTTTTCTCTAGTGACTAAGAATTTAAAATTAGGCTGACATGGATTCTTTGATCATGTAGAATTTTCTTATCCCAAGAAGAAGGATGAGCATGTGGTCATTTTCGAGATACATATATTTGCTTTAAACACAATCCCCCCTGAAATCCCACTGTAAACAAACATTTCAAATGCAAAAAACAAAAGTTCCATAATAAAGAATGGGCTTAAGTCTTAGCAATTAGGGAAGAGGAAAAAAAAAATCTGAGTAGAAATTTTGCAATTTAAATAGAAATAAAAAAAATAGACTGCATGCATCTGCCAGAAGGAGAGGAGAGGAAGGGAGCATTAAGTCAGGTAACAGAATGGGATGAAGGGAAGAAGAGAGGAAAGTAAAGTGAGGGAGGAAAGAGAAAGTGGTAGAGGACATAAAGTGATAGTCAGGGAAAGGGACAAGAAGTTATTTCTACTTTTCTTGGAGAAGATATCCGTAAAAAAATTAATGCAATTTGCTCCAAGAGCGAGATAACGGAAGGGGTGGGGGCCTATTGCTTCACTTTATTGTCAAAGAGACTTGTCTGAGCAACAAAATAAAATCAGGCTCAGCTGCAACTCTAAGCTGCTCTGCACGACTTTAAAGAGCTCCAGGAATAGGCAGAGCCATGGGGAGATTGCTAGCCCCTCAAGAACTCTTTTTTTTTTTTTTAAAGCAAGATCTGTTCATAAAGGCTCCCACAAAGTCTCAAGAGTTCAGCCAAAGTAATGGACCCAGATTCAGCTTGTTCGAGTTGGGAATTTCTGAAGTAGTCCTTTCCTCCTCAGTGCTTAGAGTAGGGCTGCAACAAGCCAGGCACATTTCCAAGGCTGCAGGGAAAGGAGCCGTTCTGCATGTGCAGCTAAGAAAGGACAGATCAGTCAAATCATTCTTGCAGAGGAATGAGAAGTTAAGAGAAGGACAAGGAAGCATGGTGAGGAAAGATCAGGGCTGAGAGAGACTTTCGGGAAAAGAGAGTTTAAAAATCCACTGCCATCGTGTCCAGCAGAGTGCAACATACTCACAAGTGCAAGACACAAGGGGTGATCTGGTTTAAAAACAAAACACCTCCCATACGAAAGCCGATTTTTCACCCCATCTCCAAACCCTGATTTTTTGAAAAGTTTGCTTACTGCTTACAACCCCAGAAACACATCAAGCAGGTTCAGGATTCACAGGTCCCAATCCCCTTATACGATAAAAAAAAAAAATAGAACTCACTCCCCCTGATTTTCTGTATAGGCCTCAATGTGGACACTGAGGAAGGAAGGGCAAGCTAGGGCCAGCAGGGGAGCCTCAGGCCAGACTAAAGCCCTCGTAGTTGTCAAGGGCCTGGGTCAGCCGTGCGCTCAGGATCTCTTTGCTGCTGTACTTGGGGAGGTCAAGAAGGTTGTAGCAAGTGTGGGCCACCGGCAAGTACTCCTCCCCGCTGGCTGTGGACTGGATGACAATCTGTAGGCTCGCCATGCCATAGATGGGAATCCGATCGCTGCCTGTCAGGAACACTGCAGAGAAAGGGAATTGGCATTACCAGCGACACAAACGAGAAGCTGCTCTTAGCAGCCCTCTGAGGAAAAGAGAGGAAGACGTGACACCCTGTGGCTCGCATGAGAAGTACAACCACTTTTATGTGCCAAAATGTATGGCATTAATATTAATATATGCTCATTCTTACAAAGCAAAAGAGACTGCCTTTCAAGTCCTAATTTTTGGTTTTATATGGATAAAAATTATATACCTTTTACTGACTAATTTGGACCCTGATTATACACTGACACAAATAATCCATCCAATGGAAAGATGCTCAAAAAACACCCTCAGTCAAATGTATACCCTCATAAATGCTATGAGCGTTCCCAAAATCAAAGAGAAAGGGAATTACTGAACAGGACAAGAGGAGTTGACCTCAGGGGGAAACCAGGAAGAAGAACGCAGTCTATGTGACCTCAAGGTCTCCTCACATCTCAAGGGTCTGGGGCCTTTACCACCTTGGCTACTGGATTTCCATTTGGGATCTGCTTGCTTTCCTTTCCCTCTCTCTCCATTCTTCTTAAACCAGAAGCGCTGAGACTGACATTAGAGATTTCACTCTTGTGACATACACTATGACTTGGCAAAAAAAAGAGAGACTGAGAAAAACAGACCCAGCTGTCTTGTTTTCTAGTGCTGGATAACCTTCTCATAGCTGAAGTGCTGAAAAGTACTACAATGACATCATTAGTTAAGGAGCACTTTCAAATAACCTGCCATTACCTGAGACTGTGATACAGGATATTCTTGCCAAAATCTGTAGAGTTAATAAAAATTTCTGTTAAGTCTAATGGTCTCTGAACATAGAAGTGTCTTCTTTTAAGGAAATCCCCAGGACCAAGAGCAGGCTCCTCTTGACTGTCACTGCTCTACAAGCTCCCCTGGCAAACTTCAACCTGTCACTCCACTCATACGCCACTGCTTCTCAAGAGCCAGTGTAACCAGGCCGAGGAGAAGCGGGGCTCTTTTTAAGAATTCTTGTGTAAGATACCCCCTTCCTCTCGTCCTTACTCCCCGTGAGCAGTAGAATCTAGGGGTAAATCTTGCATTAATATTAATGTATGTTTATTCTTAAAGCAAGAGAGACTGCTTGCAAATCCTGTTTATTTTATAAGGATAAAAATTTTTATCATATTCATTGGCTAATTTCTGACTCTGATTATATACACTGACACAAAGATTGCAACTATTTTTAAAAGGCCGAATTTGTTCATGTAAACTAGACTTCATTCTCCTTTCCAAACATAGTACCCTTCTCAAATGTCATCTAGCCAGTCACAAAGGACCATATATTGTCTGATTCCATTTATATGAAATGTCCAGAACAGGCAAATCCATAGAAACAGAAGGCTGACTGGGAGGAGGAGGGTAGGGAGAAATGCGGAACGATGGCTAATGGGTACAGGGTTTCTTGAGATGATGAATGTGTTCTAAAATTGATAGTTTCATAACTCTGTGAAAATACTAAAAACCATTGAATTGTACACTTTAAATAAGTGAATTGTATGGTATGGAAATTATATCTCAATAAAGCTATTACAAATCACATCTCCCCAGTGCAACCTGCAGTAGACACTTTGTAACATTTTCCAAAGGCTAGAGAGATAAGGGAGGTTAATCCAAATGATTAGACTTCATCCATGTAACACTTAAAGGAATCACATATTTAAAAAAACTAGTATTTTTAGAGCAATTGAAAATAAGTGAAGTGTTTCTTTCCTTCCTTTCATGCAATCCCTCCTGTTAGGCAATAGCTATGGCTAACAACCAATGTGCCTGAGATGATTAAGACAAAAGTGTAAATGTATTTACTTCCTTACTCTTTACCATTTAAAAGAGTTCAAACTTTACCTGTGGAGTATATCACCCTATACCATATGCAACATTAAAATGTGGACAAATACCATATTGAGATTACTGATACTTACAGAGAAACTTCTTCTTCTTTTCCAATGGAAACTCATGAAATGTTTCCCAAAATAGTTTCACGGTGGGATGTGTGGCTGAGTAATCACCCTTGTAGATGGCAGTCTGCCCAAAAACGACAAAAAGAAAAAAATGTATCTTACAGAAGACGACGACTATCACAGTGGACATCTGTATACCATTTGCATTTGAGAGTAAGAAATAACTACTGAGACGCAGGAGGCCTCCAAAGCCTCCTCAACCACAGAAGGCTGGGAAGGAGAGCAGGCCCTGGGCACACCTACCCAGGCCGCTTCTGCTTCCTCACAGGTAAAAGACAGCGCCTCGTAGGCTTACCTCTTCCAGTTCGTCCCAGTTGTAGTTGCTGTTCCCCACCATCATGGCCCTCAGTTCTGAAGGCTGGAAGAGCTCAAGCACTTTGCCACCACACACCTTTAGGAAGCCACTGGAGAAGGCTGTGTACCATTCGTGAACTGAGATTTGGAAGACATAATTCACATAAGCATCCACAAAGTCCTGCCTGTCAGAAGACAAAGAAATAGAATATGTTTAGCCCAAAGTCTTGTAGAGTCTATCAGGCTCCCCTTCTACACTGAGGTTGAGAGGGATGAAAAATGGAATTGCATCAAATTCTCACGCCAGGAGGCATCCTAAGGCATTGTGTAGGTAACTGCCCAGTCCTAGGATTCCACCAAGGAGTCTCAGGTGACCTGGGACAGAGCAGGCCAGGCAGGTAGAACCATGCTACTGACTTTATTTTACCTGAGGTGCTCCACGTTTCATCTTGTTTATGGTCCTGCTTAAAATTTAGTTTAGAAAAAAATAAAAGCCTTTTTCTGCTTAAAAGAAAAAGTCTAAGATAATGGTTCAAGGCTACTTCGCCTCTCTTTGGAAACAAATAAAGCTAGACCATCTGATATTTGTAACATGATCTATTTCAGAAGGTAATTTCATAACTCCTTTCTATAAATCCCTTAACTACCTCTGGAAAGAACTGTCTTATACAATGGCTCCATCTCACTAATAATCAGGCAAATGCAAATTAAGACAATAGTGAATTCTCATTTGTACCCACTGGACTGGCATAAGTTTAAAAGTCAGAGAATATCAATGATGAGTGAAGACGTGGGGAAGTGGATGGTTAACTTTACTTGTCAACTTGGCTAGGCTCTGGTACCCATACCTAGTTGTTTGGTCAAACACCAATCTAGATGTTGCTCTGAAGGTATTTTTTAGATGTGATTAACATTTAAATCAGTAGACTTTAAGTAAAGCAGATTGAGATTAGTCTTCATAATGTGGTAAGCCTCATCCCATCAGCTGAAGGTCTTAAAACGCTGAGATTCTCTAAAGAGGGAGGAATTTGGCCTCTAGACAGCCTTCTGACTTAAGATGCAAGATCACCTACTGCCAGAAGTGCCAGCCTGCCAGCTGGCCCTGCAGATTTCTGACTTGCCAGTCTCAGAATCACATGAGCAGATTCCTTAAAATATTGATAGATAGATAGATAGATATCCTATTGGTTCTGTTTCTGTGGAGAGCCCTGACTAATACAGATTTTGGTACCAGGAAGTGGGGTACTACAATAGCAAATACCTAAAAAGGTAGAAGTGACTTTGGAATTGGGTAATAGATAGAGGCTGGAAGAGTTCTGGGCGCTTGATAGAAAGAGCCTGGATTGCCTTGAAGAGGCTATTGACAGAAATATAGACATTAAAGGAGATTCTGGTGATGGCTCAGAGAGAAAAGAGGAGAGCTGAAGAGAAAGCTTCTGTTGTCTTGGAAAATACATATACATAATGCTGCTAGAAATACCAATGTTAAAGTGCTTCTAGTGAAGTCTCAGATAAAAATGAGGAACATGTACTGGAAATTGGAGGAAAGGCAATCTGTAATAAAGTGGTAGAGAACTTGGCCAAATTGTGTTCCAGTGTTTTGTAGCAAGTAGAGCTTGTAACTGTAAACTTGGATATTTAGCTGAGGAGATTTCTGAGCAAAGTATTGAAGATGTGCCCTGGTTTCTTCTTGATGCTTATAGTAAAATGCAAGGCGAAAGGATAAATTAAAGAGGGAAGTGTTAAGCAAAACAAAACCAGACCCTGAAGGTTTGGAAAAGACCACCTATGCAGATAGCATGCTCTGGAAACAGGGCCCAGGGTGTGGCTGAACAGTGGTCTGCTAAGGACATTAGGCATGTGACTCATGGACCCACTCATGGACCCAATCAACCACCTCAGCAGAAGCCAGGAATAGAGGTGTGGCATTCCAGAAAGGATCTGCACAGGACCCTCTTCTCCCATGGCTTGGACCCCCGTGAACTGCCTGGGAGGTCAACAAAGTTTTTGAGAATTTTATACCAGCAGAAACACTGCCAGCTTGCACCGAAAGAGTAGAGATGGGATGAAATGAAGGACAGTTGTCAGACTTCTGGGATTCTACAGGTATGAAATGAGTCGATGAGAGTAACTGACTGCGAACAGGTGTCATCTTTCAAGACAAGGGAATAACGACCCCAAGGGTGAATCAAAGTCCAGCGGGGTTACCACTGCCCCATGGGCACGGGTGGAGGAACAGGGCCACCACTCCAGTGGGCCAGAGGACAGAGCATGGAGCCAAAGGAGATTATTCTCCAAGCCTTAAAATCTAATGGAATTTGCCCTGCTAGGTTTCCGACTTGCTTGGGACCTGTGACCCCTTTCGTCCTTCTGATTTCTCCCTTTTGGAATGGGAATGTCTATCCTATGCCTGTTCTACCATTGTATTTAGAAACAGATAACTTGTCTGGTCTCACAAGTTCACAGCTGTAGAAGAATTTTGCCTCAGGATGAATCAAACCTCGAGTCTCACCCATACCTGATTTAAATATTTACATAAGGGTTCTCAAGAGAAACAGAACCAATGGGGGGGGTGTGTGTGTGTGTGGTGTGTGTGTGTGTGTGTGTGTGTGTACACATATAGAAAAAGATTTATTATAAGGTGTTAGCTCATGAGATTATGGAGACTGACAAGCCCCAAGATCTTGTGAGCAAGGTGAAGACCCAGGAGAGCCAATAGTGTAGTTCTAGTCCAAAGACAGAGGCTCGAGACCCAGGAACGGCTGCTGTTTCTGTTAGAGTCTAAAGGCAGGAAAAACTGATGTCCCAGCTCAAAGGGCGTCAGGCAGAAGTACCTCTTACTCAGCCTTTTTGTTCTATCCAGGCCTTCAACTGAATGGATGAGACACATGCATGTTAGAGAGGGCAATCTGTTTTACTCAGTCTCCCAATTCAAATGTTAATCTCATCCAGCGACACCTTCACAGACATACCCAGAGTAATGTCTGACCAAATATGTGGGGACCTCATGGCCCAGTTTAGTTGACACATAAAATTAACCATCACGGATGAGATTTTTGGACTTAAAGTTGATGCTGGAATGGGTTAAGAATGGGGTAAGGACATGAATTTTGGGGGGCCAGAGGATGAAGTGTTATGGGTTGGAGTATGTCCCCCTAAAATTCATATATTGAAGTCCTAACCCATAGTATCTTAGAAGGTGACCTTATTTGGAGATAGGGTCTTTACAGAGATAATCAAGTTAAAATGAGATTATTAGGGTGGGCCCTAATCTGATATGACTGGTGTCCTTATAACAAGGGGAAATTTGGACACAGAAACATGCAGAGAGGGAAGATAATCAGAAGAGACATGAGAAGAAGATGGCCATCTACAAGCCAAGGAGATGGGACTGGCACAGTTCCTTCCCTCACAGCTTTCAGAAGGAACCAACCCTGCTAACACCTTGATTTTGAACATCCAGCCACCAGAACTGAGACAAATTTCTGTTGTTTAAGCCACTTAGTCTGTGGTACATTGTTATAGCAGCCCTAGCAAACTAATACATAGACTCTAATCTCTACATGTCAATTAGTTTTACCCTCAACACATTCTTTTCCTTAACAATGATCATTAACATTTACAGAGTGTTTACCAGGTGCTAATCACTGCAATAAGTTCTTGGATATACACTGTCTCAGTGAATACTCAAAACTATCCTTTGAGTGAATTTTATGGTATGAGAATTATGTCCCAATAAAAATAAATAGATGAAAAAAGAACTTTTTGAGGTTTATATGATCATTATTCCAATATCAGAACTAAATCCGGGCCGGCCCCGTGGCTTGGCGGTTAAGTGCGTGCGCTCCGCTGCTGG